TACGGTACAGCAGTACGACCGCCGGACTCCGACGGTTCGCATCTGCAAAATAGGGTCAAAGAAGCGGCCTCGAACGAGCTAGTGGCTGGGGAGAGAGGACCCCACCCCGGCCCGGGAGACCGCGCCAGACATGGGCACGCCCAGCCCCGAGGGGTCGGGCCGGAGGCCGAGACGTCGCAGTAAACACGGGCTTAGGTCGGGGCGGGAGATGATTCCAGGCGGAGGGACCGCGGGGGCTGGTTTGGACCCCCGGCCTCTCTCGGTGGCGGGGCCTACTCGGGCTAGTCCTATGTCGGACCCCCCAGCCTGGCCCCTCCCGCGGAGGGAGGGAAGGGAGGACCCGGGGTCTCAGCGCAGCGGCAGCAGCGAAAGAGTTAACCCGGACCGCGGCGAGGGGGCGGGTGGCGTCAGCGCCTACGTCAGGGCGAGGCGGGGCCGCGTAGACGCGGCCGCTGTGGCCGCCTAGCCCGCACCCCACGCCGCGGGGGAGGCCGTGGGTGTGGTGGTTGAGGTGTCCATTCTCTGTCCCGTTTCCCCCGCGCTGCGCAGATGGGGATACTGAGGCACAGGGAGAGGCGCGGCCTGGCTGGGACTAGATCCGGGCAGCCTTGCTCCAGGTCCCCGCCAACCCGTGTCCTACACCGTCACCCCCTTCCAGTCCCCCAGGTCGCCGGGCTGAGACGAGTTGGCTTTGGGGGTTTTTGTTTGTTTCTCTTCCAGCGAGCAGACAGATTCCTACAAAATCGCCCAAATATACGATTGCCCCGGGCTGTGTCCTGGCAAGTCGCCGCGTCTGCGTGGGCCTCAGTTTGCCCGGCCGGACACTGGGGACAGGGCTGGCAATCACTAGCGGCGCTCGGCTCTGCCTACGAAGCGGGAGTGGGAGGGGATTCCAAGCCCAGGAGCGGGAGAGAGAATCGAAAGGAGGCGCTGGCGGTGGGGGGACAGCAGCGAGGCGGCATTCGAATCCCGGGCTGGGGCCTTTCCTTTCCTCCGCCTCTCCCCCGCCCCCCAGCATCTCCCCCTCCTCCGCCTCCCCACCTCGCTCCCCCGCTCCTTCCCCGTCTCCTCCCCTCCCTTCCCCCCGCCCGCCCAACTAGGCCGCCCCGCGGGGCCGCTAATTAAATGCAGGCTGGGGGAGGGGACGGCGCGCGGTTAACCCCTTCCCCGCCGGGGGCCCTGGAGGGAGCCCCGAGTAAGGGAGGGGGAAGGGTGGCCGACCCGGGAATTCTCCCCTCTCCAGCAGGCGGGCTTCAGACCCTAAGACAAGCCCATTTGATGAATGAGTAGATCGAGGCCTTGGGACGGGCCCCAGGGTTGCGGGCGAGGTTGGACTAAACAGGACCTCGTGATCGGAGCGCCAGAGTGGAGAGATAGCAGGAAAGAAAAGCTAGATTGTGACTTGAGATAAACAAAAGAGAAAAGGCAGAGATGGAGAGAGAGCAGGTGAGGGAGGAAGGGAGGAACTGCGAGCAGGCCTGAGACAGAGAGGAAGACAAACCAGGTAAAGGTTTTTCACAGGGACCCTCGGCCCTTGCTGGGGCCATGAACCAGTCCCTTGGCATAAAGAGAAGGTGACCCTATAAATACTTCTCTAAAATGAAAAAGACTGACAGTCTCCCAGGGCAGCACCATTGGGGCTGTTGGGAACATGGGGTGGGGTGGGTTCCGTCAGTATGTGTGGTGATAGCAAACTGACAGGTCACTTTTGGAGCTGGAGGCCCCAATGTGGCCTGGACACACCCATGGCCTGAACGGAGGGTCAACCCTGCCCAGGGAGCCATCAGTCACCCCTGTCCCTGCAGCTCTGGGGGACCCATACGCTGATATTTCAGTGCCCACTGCTAGGTGAACAGAAGCTCTGTCGGAGCCCAGGGAGACAGGGGTGAGCTCTGTGTGGCCCCACATTCTCGGGGTGGGAAGAGATGACAGGGTGACACAGTCAGGCAGTGGCAAAAGGCACAAGGAAATCAGCAGCAGGGAGGCACAGGACGTGGGGGTTGGGAGGGGCCATGACACCAGCATGGGGGGAGTGCCATGAGGATGCCCTAGGGAAGGGTGTTCCGAAAAACTGGAATAGCTTGTGCAAAGGCCCTAGGGTTGGAGGAACATCAAGGATGAGGCTTGGAGTGGAGGGAAGGGAGATGATGGGAGGGGAGGGGATCACAAAGGCACGTGGGTCCTCGGCAGCTGGGGGGGGGGGGGTTAAAGCCCTTCCCCCCCCGGGGGGGGCCCCGGGGCCCCCCCC